GAGGACGCGTGGTCAATGGTCTAACCGCTAAGGCATGCAAAACATGAGACTCCGCCCCCCCGTCTTGTTTATTTTCTTGTTTCTGCGGGCGTCTTATCCAAAATGTGGTGGTGTCTTCCCATCAGATCAAGCCCATGACGTTCGGGATGATGAAGTCGATGTACTGGGCCGCCCACCAGCGCTTCTTCCGGGTCATGTGCATCGCCTTCAAGGTAGTTATTGTACCTGTAATAATGTTTTTTATTATATCTATTGTTGTTGTTATTGTTATTATTATTATTATTATTATTATTATTATTATTATTATTATTATTATTATTATTATTATTATTATTATTGATTTTATTTTATGATTATGATTAATATTATTGCTATTATTATATATATTTTTATTTCACAAATTCGGACTGGGGCTCCAAACTTTTGCATTTAAGGAAGCAGATTTAGAATTAAGAAATTTTCCTGGAAAACTCCTGCAGGCAAATATCATAAGCTTTAAGCGGCCTCATATGATCGGCTGAGGGGCAACAGTTCTCCTCTCCCACCCAACGAACTTCCCCTGACCGCAGGTGGTGCTGCTTATTTGTGGTGCGCTGCGTGACAGCTGCACCCTGCTGACACCGCTTTCTCTCACTGCTCTGTTGTTGAGTGTGCGTGCATGCATTGCGTGTGCGTGTGTGTGTTCTGTGCCGCCCCCCTCAACCCCACCACACGAAATCGCACCAGAACGTACACAGGGAGGACGTAATTGTACTGGCCGGCAGCCTCTGCACGAATTGCAGTGTCGCATTTCAAGCGTTCGGGAGAGAAGAGGTTGTTATTGGGACTGGGGCACATCAAGTCAAACTCTCTCTCCACGATAGCAGAGCACCAGCAGAGAATAATCTTGCGCGGGGAGGACGCACCCGTCTACACCAGGAGGCCAATTGCGTGCTCTTCCGCCTGTCTGTGTGCTCCTCTTTGTTTGCTGGCGGTGCTGCCACCACCTCTACGTCATCGGTTGTCGCTTTCTCCGCGGTTCCGGCGCTCGCTCTCCTCTTCCCCCTTGCCTCAACCTGTGTTTGACGGGCGGGTGTTGCTGACCTAAAGCCGCGCAAACAAGCCCAACTTGGCTTTCTGACCGTGCAGCCTCCCTATTGCTGGTGCCGCGCCAACTCCAAGGCCTTTTCGCTGGGCGCTGGCCTTGTCTTTGGCCGCGCGGACTGCTGTGTGTGCGTGGTTGTGGTGCCTAATGTGTTACATCGAAGAATGCTGCCAAATCGGAAAATCGTCAACAATTTTCCACAAAACGAGCCTCCCTCCGCTGTTAAATCTGATTATTTTTTCCTTGTCTTGGGTTCTGGCGAGACTGTCAGGAACGATCGTCAGAACGATGGCTTTAATCAAAATGTATTTCCTTATTTCGGATTTTTTTTGAGTCCAAAAGATTCTATTTCATATTATTGTTATTATTATTTTTATGTTTTTATTTTATTATTATTGTTATTGTTATTTTTGCGGTCTGCGTCAAGTTGTTTTCACGGAACACTGCTGGCGTTGTTAAGCTACCAAAGAGTTGGTTGCTGACAATGGACATCGCTTTCAAGGCATGCATCTTGTTCTCTCTCTCTTCTTTGTGAAAAGCGTAGTAAACGATAGATGGGGACAGTCGCCATATTCAACAACACAATGCAACACACGCAACGCATCTGCTGTTGTTCAAAGCTAGCAACCAAGATATGAAAACTTGTTGCTTTCCATTTTGTTGTTCCGTTTTTTGCTTTTTATTCGTTCGTCAGTTCTTACACTTTCTGACGTGCTGCCGTTGAGGGCTCGTTGGGATGCAAATGTTGTCGTTTGTTCGGGAAAGTCGTTTTCGCGTTCTGTTTGTTTTTTTGCGGCAGATGTCACGCGTAGTACCGTTCCAGAGAGGGAGAAGGCCAGATCTTTTCGTTGACACAATGCTGCTACTGCTGCTGCTACTGCTGCTGGAATCATTGCTCTTTCCCCCACGCAATCATGGCGAAGTTTCCCTACACCCTTGACACAGGTGGAGAAGGTGGTGGAGATCACCAAGAAGGCCGTCGAGGATGACATGTGCGTCGTTATCGGCCTCCAGTCCACAGGGACATACATGAGTCAAGGATAGTGGGAGGGGGGCACCGTCACCGGGGGGGCGGGGGGGGCGACAATGCCCAGGTATCGTGTCTACTGTACTTATGAGTACCCAATCGAGAGGGCGCCGTGGAGAAGAGGGATTATTCCAGGGATATTTCTTGATATTTTTTGTTGTCTAGTCCATATCTGTTTCCTCTCTCCGGAGAATAGGCTTATTCTATCGGTTCTTCCTCCACCATACTGCGTGTCTTTTTTTTGTGTGCGCGGTTGCCAATTGGGTGCGTGTGTGTTTGCTGCTGCTGTGCCATTCTTGTGGCCAGCGATGAAAAACAGGTGAACCGTGTATTTGATCCTGCTGCAGCCGTTATTTTCCGGCGTTGGGAAACAGGCGAATCGAACATGAGGGACGCGGTGAAGCGGAAGGATGCCAAGGTGGCGGAGAACAAGTTCCTGAGCTCGCCGGGGGAGATCGGAAAGCGGTTCATCATGAAGGTCTTCTGGGCGGACGGAGCGGACGACATTAGGTGTGCCCGAGAACCGCAGTTGTTGTTGGTGGTGGAGGTGGTGTTGTCGGAGCGGTTACCTCGCCAAAATTGTAACCGGTACATATGTAGCTCTTTGCAACCCCCCCGATCGCTTGCCACATCCTCCTTTTTGCCTCTCCCCCCCCCCCCCCC